ATATATATTTTTAATTACTGTATCATATCCTAGTTTTTAGATATTTTATGTATTGTATCGCTATATTCGTATCTGCTTCATAGGTGGGTTGAGATTAAAAGGAGTGTAGGATTGGAATTGATTGAGATTATGAAAATAAATTTGTTTCAAATATGATATCTCTATTGAATTATTATTATTTTATTATTTTATCATTTTTTTGGGTACATATTTGTTTTAACTCTTGAATTAGTAACTGGAATCCACCATAAAATAGAGAAAATCTCTAAATTTGATTAATCATTTTTTTGGGTACAGATTTGTTCACCAAACCATTGAAGAAGGATCTGCTCATCAAAATAAGGAAATTAATTGGCGTGAATGAAGTCTAGCTTAAGGGGGATGTTAAGAATAAGAGGAATGCTATTCACAATCGCTCAAAAGCGATTGTCTCATGACTTGCTAGACACGTGGATACACAAACGCTTGCTGCATTTCCCTTCCTTTTTTTAAATTATTGTTTCTCTTTCTTCTCTCGATTTTGCCTCTCTCTCTTTTTTTAATTACGTTTTCTCTTTCTTCTCTTGGTTACCTCTCTCTTTCTCTTTTTTAATTCTTTCTTCTCTTCTTCTTCTCTCCGCCTCTCTCTCTCTTTTATTCTTCTTCTTCTCTCAGTCTGTCTCCATCTCTATTTTCATTTTCCATCGCCTTATTTCACAGGTCACAGGTTTCAAACACCCAAAGACATGACAATTCAAATCACGAAATTAACCAAAACCAAAGATACCCACTTTATGAACAAGAGCACAAGAGAGGGATCACGAAAAATAAAAAGCAAATATTTCCCCCAAACCAGTAATGAATCAATAAGAAAACTAAAAACTAGAGCTACCCAGATGAAATAGAGAGAGAGATTGGTGCTGGTGGTTTATTAAGAGATGCTGATGGTGCTTGGCTCAAGGGATTTACTGGAAAATTGGGAGTGGGTTCTATCCTTGAGGCAGAATTATGGGGCATTTTCTGGGGGCTCTCTTTAGCTTGGGATGCTGGGATTCGGCTTGTGGAGATTGAGTGTGACTCCATTGTTGCTGTGGACTTAATTAACAACCCGACTGGAGCCAACCATCCTCTCTCTAATGTCATCAATTATTGCAAACTAAAGATTCATGGTGATTGGAACTGTGTTGTCCATCATATCTATCGCGAGATGAATACTGCTGCGGATGCCTTGGCTGCAATGTGTGCTGATTTGGCTCCTGGCATTCAAATTTTTGATCTGCCTCCAACGTCTCTTATTGAAACTCTGGCTGCTGATGCCATTGGCACCTCCAGACCTCGCCTTCTTCCTTTGTAGTCTCTCTGTTGCTGGGCTTTTGCTCCTCCTTTTACCCAAAAAAAAAAATAGAGAGACAGAGAGACGGACGGACGGAGAGAAGAAGAGAAGAAAGAGAAAAAAGAATTAAAAAAGAGAAAGGAAGAGGCAACCGAGAGAATAAAGAGAAAACATAATTAAAAAAAGGAGAGAGAGGCAAAATCGAGAGAAGAAAGAGAAACAATAATTAAAAAAAGGAAGGAGAATGCAGCAAGCGGTTGTGTATCCACGTGTCTAGCAAGTCATGAGACAATCGCTTTTGAGCGATTGTGAATAGCATTCCTCTAAGAATAATCTAGACTTCATTAATAATCGACTGATAAATTAATAATAGTTGGCTGTTAATAGTTGTTTGTTAAAATAATGGTTGGAGGAGTTAGTTGAATTAACTATGTTTGGTATTAGTTGTGTTTTTTAATGTGTCAAGTCAGGAACATCATCACTATCTAAAACTAAAATAGTGTTCCATTACCTTTTGTCTTTTGATTATTCTCTTACATATTAATATTATTACTCCCACAAAACCGTGTCCACCACCAAAAATATTAATCATATGTACCCATCAACCATAAAGGATATACGCTATATAATTGCTCGAGTACGCCGAAATTGCTATGTATGATTCATGAGACGCCGAAATGCTTAGGTATGCTATTATAATCATAGCATATGCATGTGAAAAGTTTATTAAGACTGTCTCTAAGTCTATAACCTTTTCAGGTGAGAGCGAGATAGAATTATTTAGTTGTCTTGTGTTTTCTAAGAAATGTGTAAATGTTATATTGTTATGTTATGGGTGTAACTGAGGAATGTAATATTAATTGTCTTGCCTGAGCATTGTTACATGTGTAATGCCAATAAAGCCACTAGCTAGAGGTGTCTTATTTTCAAAATCTATATATATAAAGCAAAAGGCAGATAACGGTGAAACATTCAAAATACTAGAAAATGTCATTGGTTAATGTAAATATTAAGAATTGAAATTATTAATTAAATGAGAATAATATGGTAAATTCACACTTTTTCATATAAAAAAATTAAAATTAAAAGAAAAATAATGTATCCTATTTTTATGAAACACAACTTCCCATTGTCATTTTTAATTCTAAAATAAATTTAAATATTCTAAATAAATAAAAAAGCCTCTCGCAGGCACGAAAGCGCATGCGAGAGAGGATAGTATAATATTAAGGATGTTTTTTAACTCCTTTCCTATAAGGTCATGTGAATCACGGTTTGACACATATACAAAAATAATTCATCAAAAATGCAAAAAGAAAAACTTATACACACATGTCATACTGCTATTAACATGAATATAAAAATTTCTACTTACATACATGATAAGAAGGGAAATATTTTTCTAATATTAAACAATCGAATTAGTTACCAATCTCAACTTTCATTTGTGCAGTGATTGATTTCTTATCACCCCACACCGACACTTTAGTTTTACTTTTAGTTCGTGAAGCACGAAATGACTTTTAGTTTTATTTTCTATGTATTAGTATGAGTTGGACCAAAGAATATGTATGACTATTGACATTGTTTGTTCTTTCCTGCTACCAAAAGTCGAATGGGCCCCTTGCCCTTGGGGTGGTCAAAATAAAATTATATGTTAAAAATGAAACGCAAGGCAGACGTCAGCCAACCTACGTCACATACAGCAGAAGCACCCACCACGGTCCACCCAACCCAACAACAACCCAACCCATAAAAAGAAAAGAAACAGTACTGCAAGAATAGAATACCGACGGTTATGATGACGTCATTGCTTCGGTCGTCATTGTATTCTCTATAATGGTGTTTTACCATTCTATCCATTGCTTGCCTCCATCCAAATTCCAAATGGGGGTTGTCGGCCAGTGTGGTAATTTCGTCTTTCGACTTTTAAAGTGTACACCCCACACGGTGTCAGTGACGATGATTTTTGGTGACATCAACAACATTATGTCATATTACCAAAAGCTGTGACTTTTTGAGAAACTTACATATATATATATATATATATATATATATATATAAACCAGTCTAAGAGGCAGGCAGGCAGGCAGGCAGGCAGAGACTAGCTAGTCATCAAAAGTTGAAAAAAACCAATTAATAATTAAGCATGGATGTTGAGAAGATTGATGATCACGTGGATACCAGCAGCTGTAAACATCCAGTAGATCATCAAGAAGAGGAAGAAGAAGAGAGCGAGGAGATGAAGATGGAGAAGTTTTATTTGTTGATTCGAAACTATCACGATGCTCTTAATCGTCTGCGATCAAGAAAGCTGCCATTTGCATGCAATGAGGATGAAGACGACGACAACAACGTCAGCATCAAGGCCAAAAAGAGAAGAAAGACAATGGGAGATGATGAGGGGGGAGAGTCATCTGCCGCCGGAGGAGGAGGAGGTTGGGTGCCATCTTTTGAGGTGGAGGATTTTGGCAAAGAGGTTAAGTTTGGAGGACATCCTTTACTCTTCCCTCCTCCTCCTCCTCCTCCTCCTCCTGCTGCTGCTGCTAACACTAGTAATTTAGAAACACAAGATGATGGTTTGGGGTCTTTGGACCTTAGACTTGCCCTCTAGCTTATAGCTACTTGTGTTGTGTTGTGTGCTTGCTTTGCGAATTGCATGTACATCGGAAATTAACAAGTCAAGTAACAATTTTTTCTTCTGTTCTGGGTTTTGGGTTAACTGGGTTCTCATGATTTTTGCTTTTTAATGAAATTCAATTATCACTTATTTCTTTCTCATATATTTTTTATGGAAGCAAAGCATCGCAACACGCAGAGCGCATGAGAATCTGATCGGATAAGAAAAGGACGGAGGTGGGAAGGAAGGAATCGCATGCAAGTAAGCATCTTAATTATTTCACAAATTTTGAGATGCGGGCATCAACGTCACCCCCAAAAGACACGTCCTTCCACGAAATTTACAAAATGATGGCCCATCCCATTTCCCCCTCTTTTGCTTTGGCCCATCCCATTTCCCCCTCTTTCGTTTTGTTTTTTGGCCATACTCCAGATCCGGACCCCTACCCCATCTTTAACTTTAACAAAACGTTACCAACTCTATGTGGAGAGCGACTTCTGCTTACTTATGAATGCGGGCTTGAAAATGCATCCATGGTTTGGATCTGAGACGACTCTGATCACAAATGCGTATGAAATTCACCATTATAGTCTAAAATATCAATAATATTGACGAAATGTCGATGATATTATTTTTTTTTCGAGTCATGATATTTCGCAATATATCCGTACACATATTGTATAAATATCAATAATATTGAAAAATATCGATGTTGATAATTTCACTCACACTTTAGCAATATTTTATCAAAATATCGCTATAATACTTTATTCAAGTTTTATCGATATCGATAATACCCCGATATTTCCATCAAAATTTCTGTGTTTTTGGACTATCGATATTTTAGATTTTGTTCACAATACATCAATAATTTAGGGTTTACACTCACTTCACGCGTGAGCGACTGAACTTAGCATCTTCCTTTTATTTTATTTTTATTTTTTCGGGAAAGGGGACTTGGCAAGGGTGGCATTTGGGTCCCGTGAAAGAAACGAATAATAATGATACAACCTTGACATCATCAACTTGACCTGACATATATGTATCACGGGGTCTCTGCCAAGAGAAAAACTCCAGAGGACACGAAGGAGCGTGGAAGCAACCCATAAATTGATTGACAGCAAATTTTAATAATTCTGTGTATCTGTCTGACTTAAACTACCCTTTCTTTGGGTTTGGCCCTCTCCAAACGAGTATCAAATGGAGACCCATGAGAGCAAGAAGAGGAAGATGATCATTAGCAATGACGTTGATGCTGCTGAAGCTGATGATGAAGAAGAGAAGATTGAGAAGTTCTTTGCTCTTATCAACAATATCCGGGAAGCTCGTCACCGATTGATGAATGGTTCGAATGTAATACTGAAAGGGGAAGAAATTAATGACAACAGATCAAACAAGAAGAAGAAGAAGAAAGAAGTGGAGGAAGAGGAAGAGAAGGTCATAGCTGACGTTTGGAAGCCATCATTTCAACCTGAAGATTTAATTGAAGAAGAGGCTCATCATGAGTTCAAAATCCCACATGTGATATCTGGGATTAGTACTACTAATAATGCTCAAAGCAGAGGCTGCTGTAACACAGAAATTTGTAAACAAGGTAATAATTTAGATCTCAGGCTGTCTCTGTAACTGCTCATTGGGTGTAACATATATATATATATATATATATATATATTGTCGAAGAAGCAGTTGATGCAGAAAAATAAGTTTGATTACGATTACAAATATGCTTTGCTCTAATTTGACACAGTATTTCTATGATGCTTGATTATCACAAAATTGTTGAGTTGCCAAATATTGACTCACTCCAAGAAACTAAATTGGCTCTAGTCAATAAATGTAGGTGCAAAAGATAAGATGTTGTTATGTATCAACGATGACAAGAGGAATTGGGTTTCTCTTACTTCACTTTTGAAACCCATATATACCACGTTGTGTACCACTTCTTTATTAAGTAGGCATATATACCACGTTGTGTACCACTTCTTTATTAAGTAGGCATATATACCACGTTGTGTACCACTTCTTTATTAAGTAGGCATATATACCACGTTGTGTACCACTTCTTTATTAAGTAGGCATATATACCACGTTGTGTACCACTTCTTTATTAAGTAGGCATATATACCACGTTGTGTACCACTTCTTTATTAAGTAGGCATATATACCACGTTGTGTACCACTTCTTTATTAAGTAGGCATATATACCACGTTGTGTACCACTTCTTTATTAAGTAGGCATATATACCACGTTGTGTACCACTTCTTTATTAAGTATGCCTAGCGTTGCTCTTTAGGTATTACTTTTTGGGTCGAAAGCGGTTTAGGTATTACTTGACACATTTAGCACTTGTTCTTGCAGTTTGATTTGCTCAACTTTCTATTCATCATAATGACGGTGAAGCCAATATGGTTGCTGGTATATATACAAAGAGTATATAATTATCTAAACTACTTTTATTGATAAACGAAAATTATGGATTTTTTATATAAAAGAATCCCAATATATATCAAGCGAATAGCCGATCGGCTATACTATTTATTAAAAAAATTATTTTAAAAGGATCTCAGTAAAGTCATTCGGCTATAATATATTTTTTTAAAACCCCGGTATAGCTAGCGGCTATACTCTTTATTTAAATTATTATTAAAAAAATAAAAATAAAAAAGAGGACCCACCTAGCGAACGGCTATACTATTTTTTATGAAAACCGTAGTATAGCCGCCCGGCAATACTCTTGAAATATAATATAAAGATTTTCAGTTCATCATCATGCTTTGTATTTCTCCAGAGTTTTTCCATTGAATGGAACTTAACTTCTTTTTCAATTTTTGGCCTCTACTTTTTCTTTGAGTTGAGAGTTAAGTTCCAAACTATTTCAAGGAACAGATTAGCTCGGTGATAATACCTATTAAGAAGATTATATAAATTAGAATATTTAAAGAGTATAGCCGGGCGGCTACACTTTTTAAATATAATAAATTCAAATATTTTGCAAGTAATGGCATGTATTCGAAGTTCAACTTAAAATCGTATACCTAATAATAATTATGAGAGAGGGTGGGTCGTGAAGGTTTCCCATTACTAAGAGAAAGACAAAGGCAAATTAATGAAACTTTCTTCCTATCACAAACTGAACATGGAATGGATTATGTGGTAGAGAGAAAGCGAGAGAGACAGATATATCAAGGGCGTGAATTGTGGTGTGAAATGAATTGAAGGTAGAGTTATCAGCCAAAAAGAAAACAAAAAACACGTAAGAAAGTTTATATTGGAAACTGCGTGTGGGAAACTGGAATTTTTGGTCAAGGGGCTGCCAAGTGAGTGAGTAATGTAAGGATTTGTACGTGGGTGATGTAGTGCTATTACAATATTTAAATAGTCTAGCCGCGCGGCTATACTGTTTAAATATAATAAATTCAAATATTTAAATACTATGTTAAATATAATAAATTCGAATATTTAAATAGTACATGTTGTTAGATTACATAGATAGAGGAGCAAGTAATAGCAATTAGAAAAAATGGTTGTAATATTCATCAAAGTCAAGTCAAGTAGAGACCTTAGCTCGTAATTTTTTTAGTGTAACGGTTATACCATCATATAGGTCTGATTTCTATTGCCCTCCTCACTCTAGAAATATTTGGTATCTTGTCATTCATATCGTCTGACTCTTTGGAAAACATGAATCAAATCTCCCATTGTCATATAAAAAGCAAAAACTTCAGAGATTCCCAAGTAGAAAGCAAAGCTTTACCGTAGTTTGGAGGGTTCCCAATGACTCTGTAGCGTAGAGTCACTATCAATCCCAACGTCGCTGACAACTCGCAGATATGCCTTAAAAAAATTTGAAACCCTAAAGTCTTACTGTTGTTTAGGCGTAAAAGAGCTTATGTCTTCTTTCTTTCTTTTTTTTAAAAAAAATTTTAATAGGAAAAAGAACTTCACAGAGATTTATATATTGGAAAGACTAAAATACCCTTCAAAATGGATGGAAAATTGGATGACGTTAAAGTCAAGTGACAAATCATGGATTATGAAAACTTTAGGTGACATTTCGCCTAAATTTTTTTTTAAGGTGACAAATTGAAACTAATGTATAAGTTCAGGTGACATTTCTACAAAAATCCCTAAATTGAAATATTTAAACTTTTGAATATTTATTCACTCCCACCCAAACCAATTGGGCCTATATTCACTACCAAACCCATCTCCCACTCTTGCGTTAAATTCCAGATACATCATGTGTTTCTATCTACCAAAAAAACAAAGACCATGCCACCGCATGATCTTTTTCTTATATGCCCTCAGTCCAATTCGTTTGCACAACTCAAAAAAGGAGTAAGCAAAAGAAAACCAAATGAGATCAACGTGAACCCCAACATTTAAATGGCGACGATGATTCGCTGAGAATATGCGATTTAGAAGCATTGTGTGATTCTTCCTAGCACTCCCTAGAGGCAAGAAGAATGCTGTAGCATATGTAGTTCAACTTCAAACAGAGCAGATTTGTATATTTTCAAATACACATACGTACGTATAGCAAGTGGAGGTTTGATCACACATGCATCACCCATTGTTCGTGTGCATGAGGCAAGTGAAAGAAACAGATAAATTATGGCATTTTCGATTGATGAGGGAGGACCGTACATGAGTCAGATCGAAGACATTCACTGGTATAATTAATGTTACAAGAAATAAATAAACACAATGCTAATGTGCTATGATTACCATTCCCACCTGAGATGTGGAAGCAAAAGGAAAACCTTTTTTTACAAAGAAGCCAAACTAAAGAAAACAACGCAAACCGGTGGAATGAAAATGGTGATCAAAGCCGTCTAAAACTTCTTAATTAAAAGTTTGGCGAAATACACAGGTATCATGATGTTGTGTTGTTACTAGGACTCTTGCCCAGAATTGAAGAAGATCCAGGTGTCCTTGGACTGTTTGGCCCTCTTCCACCGGAACGAGGACTTCGCTCTCCTCTTAGCTCGCTTACACGAGGACTGAAGGAGGAATGCGGGCTCTCGAGGATTTTAGGGGCATTTCCTGGTGTTGAAGTAGAGCTTGTGATCCTTGGACTGCTAACATGTCTAAACTCACCTCGGCTTCTGGTCATGACCTCATCTAATATCTCTGCATCCCCTGCATAGGATGCTCCAGCTCCCAGCTCTGCCTCCTGTTATTTTGAAGCACATTAAACACAAAATGAATGAGTTAACTTTCAACCATTAAAATTCATACCTAAGATTAAGAAATTTTCTCTTGTCAGACAATCTATCATGTTATGTTGCCCAGACGTGAATATGCAAAGAATGAAAGTGTCTTTTACCGTTGCAAGGTTAAATGGTAAAGCGGGAGCCTCTTCATACTCTGCTGCATCCAAGTCTTGAAGATGTGCTCCTTTGAAAAACTTGGGCAGAACGTATTGTCTTACAGGAACCAGGAGCATGATCATCAATGGAAACATAACCCCAGCAATTGGAACCCAAGTAAGCCCAAAACATACAAGCAAGTACAGAGTTTGGAAAACTGTAAACAGCGCGATTGACTTGAAAGGCACAGTTTCTACAAAAGTGGCATGATACTCCTCAAGGACTCTGCAGGATGATAAAAAGCAATTTATGTTAAGCATGAAGAGGAAGGAAAATTAAACATGTATGAAACAAGTGAAGAAAGATTTGATTTGAGGGTTTACTTGTATCTTCTACTTGGAGCAGTAAACAGCAATAAGATCCTTTCCCAAAATTGGTTACCAGGTAAGCTTTCAATGGCCATGAAGGCAAAGTAGCCCCAAAGGACTGAAGTTGGGATCTTTTTGAGGATGGGCATAGCTGCAACACATCCTACCACCAGTATAGCTTGAAGCAAGTTACTAAGACGCTGTTCTTTCACCTCAACCGGCAATAGATCATCAATCTCTTTCTCGACGTCAAACACTGTCTCGTCAACTGGCGCATCAATATAATTTCCCATACTTGAAGCTGCCTGAATGGTCGATTCTTTTAATTCATTCAGTCCCTGCACAAGTGGTTATACACAAATGTTTGATTTAGATCACAAGGATCACCTGGTTGATAATGTCTTCAAAACTTCTAAAAAGTTAAAAGCCAAACATATAATGCTGTTATACCCGAGCTGAGGCCTCTTGGTAAATCAAAGGCGTCTGCATTTGTCGATAGGCTTCTTGCATATTTCCATACAGCTGTCCCAAGCTAGCATTCTTTCTCATACTTTTGCGTGCTGTTGCTACAAGTCGATTACGAAGCAACTGCACAACCAAATTTCATTCTTATCAGCAAAAGCACAAGTCACCAGAGAAAGAACAAAAAAAGATCTACAAGGGAAAAATAAAAATAAAAATAAAGAAAAAAGGACGGTTATGTGATTACTTGATGTTTGAGAGTGGCCAAACTCTTTGTATGCATTGGTGACTGTGGGATGACTCCATTTGATGGAGGAATTCCGAGCAGACCACACATTAAAGTCTGCGAGAATTAAAAAAGCAAGAGAGTTATATACAATTACTTACTGAAAGGAAAAATTGAAAGTAAGGAAATAGCAATTTGGCTTTGCATACCAGAAACCCCAAAAGAAGCAAGTCATAATGGTAAGAAGATGGTTTTCTCAAATTGAACTCTTTCTGCTGAGATAGTTGG